ACATATAGATATGTATATATATATATATATATATATACACACACACACACATATACATACATATATATGTATGTATGTATGTATATGTGTGTGTATCTATATATACCACACCTAATAGATTTGTCGAAGTAGAATGCAAGGCTAACCTGTGTCAACAAAAATCTTCATGTTCATCAATGCCCTGACACGAGGATCATGGAATATCAAAATTCCTTCCAGAATGATGACATCTGAAGGATTAACCTAACATAGATAATATATATATATATATATACACACACACACACATATACATACATATATATGTATGTATGTATGTATATGTGTGTGTATCTATATATACCACACCTAATAGATTTGTCGAAGTAGAATGCAAGGCTAACCTGTGTCAACAAAAATCTTCATGTTCATCAATGCCCTGACACGAGGATCATGGAATATCAAAATTCCTTCCAGAATGATGACATCTGAAGGATTAACCTAACATAGATAACAAGGATTTAGTTAGTACTTATATGGAAGATAGAAAAACTATCATAGCTAACCCCAAAATTGGGATAAAGGCTTTGTTATCAACTTAACGAAAAGAAACAATCCAACACAACATAACTCTGAAGACATGGAAAGAACACTAATCTAAATGCCAAAGTAGACTCCAACCATTTCAGACCAATGTAAATCATGAGATTGGCTAAAATTTCAGCTTAAACTGGAAGTATTACTGTGGAGAATTAAGATGCGAGTGAATACCAACAATAACGAAGGAAAGAACATTGATATGTAATATCCTATATTAATATGCAGGTGCAACGAATAACAATACATTTAAGGCTGGAATAGACGGGATAAGCATGCTAAGATTTTGGTAGAAGCAGAAGAAAATAATAAACCACTGGGAACAAATTAAGTAGGCATTATGCAAACAGATAGTGTAAAAAATATAACAACGCCAGCACATTAATAAGATGTCAAAGAAAAAAGAGAGTTCCACAGGGTACCAGCTTTAGAAACTGTAAGTAAATAAAAGTAATAATCATGTCACTTTTCTTTTCAAAGATTTTAGAGATGAAACCCATCTTTTTGGCAGTCAAAAGGGTTCAGGCAGGATTTGAACTAATGACCTGTCAGGTGAAAACTTTACTGCTGAATGCACAACACTGAACAGAATTGAAAAGTTTAAACAGACTGTTCCAGGTTCCTAGAAATAAGGAGAAGTACAAATGCTTCCTACTAAGTAACATGTACAGAAAAAAATTACTTGTAACGAACAACTGTTATGTACCTTTCTTGCAGGAAATACACTCTTGTATATTCTGGGATTATAGTTTGGAATATCAACTGCCTGTCCATGCTTCAAACTCTCCATACAATAAAGCAATTTCTCAGTGTCGAAGGCATCTGAAATCGTGTGAATTTCTCAAGATAATTAAATTGTGATATAGTGGGAAAACTAGCCATGTATGAAAAAATTAAATGCCAAGCACACCAACATATATAGCTATTTAGTCAGCAGTAAAGCAAATATATTTCTCACATAACAGCAAAATGAACAAACTGATTTAAGTCTTAGCCTTTTTAGAAGCAATAACACGACCAAGCAGTCTACGCCCAAAAAACATAGCAGAAACAAGAAAACAAACAACTAAATTGATAGATAGAGGGAAAACTAGTATGGCGTGAAGAAATGGAAAGCATGTGCACAAACATAAATATAGCTACTTGGTCAGCATTAGTGCAATTATGCTTCACAGGCATTAACAAAAGGAACAAGCTTATTTAAGTAAAGATTTTTTGTGGAAACAATAACATGATGAAGCAGTCCGCCAACAATAGCATGATTAGATTTAATGTTGCCAGGAAATTTAGTAACATAACAACAGATAATACATAAAACCATCACACCTAATTATTCAATGAATGACTCACTACATCAAAATGAACAAATTTACTATGAGCATTAAACTGGCATTAGGTACCTGGATGGTCAAAGTTATAATCATGAACATGAGCAAGCTCCTCTTCCGAGAGATTGTGATAAAAGGATTCCTGCAGTATCATTACCACAAAGATAAACACGGTATAATTAAATTTATTTATCATTCATTCTGAACAATTCTTCAGAAAATCATGTCAAAAGATCAAAATATGACTTGTCATAAATGTGAAAATTAACTAGTATATAAGAAATATATTTTCAATTGTCCAAAATAAGTAAATAACTGAAGGGGTACCATAATACCAACGTTTAGATAATACAAGAATTTGTCGTATCTGCATCATACTAGTGAGCCAGATCCAACTAGCAAATGGTCTGTATTCTACCCAATTATCCAATCCAATACTTGAAAGAAATCCAAATCAGCACCATGAAAAGGCCAATAAACAAGTGGGTTGCTTTTAGTGATACTATCATTCAGTACCCAATAATTGTTAATACAATCGATTTAATACAATCGATGTCCTAGCTTCCTTTATCTTTAATGCACAAAGAAGCACAGTTAAAAAACAAGTGAGTCTTAATAATAGGTACATTTTAATACGTATATTTCTACTAAATTATTTTTGGTGATGAAGTTACAAAAGAAACTGCCACAGTAAAAGTACTTGATTGATAAGAACAACACGTTGGTCATGAAGCTGCTCAATGATCATATTGCAAACAGTGGTCTTTCCTGCAGATGCACCGCCAGCGACACCTGCAGATATTGCAAGAATTTATGAGGGGGGAACACAAAAAAGATAAAACCATATATGTGAAAGGGTAGGGAAGAGCAAAAGTAAAAATAAATTAGTAATCAATGAATTTTCATTTAAATTAGGAGTTTTAGGATATAAAGCCCTGATAACTCCTTTAGTTCAGTATTAGATCCTCACAAATTAAACATTGATAAGAGTCTCTTGCAACATAAGCTCACACAGAAAAGTCTCTTTATTCTTTAATTAATCTCCTAAATACTGTAGACTGATCTGTTAAACGCTATAAAAGAGGGTTACAATTTATAAAAAAACCCTAGTCTCTACCTTTCCTCAAAAGGATATTTCCCCAAACACATTGAAAACTAATCTATAGTCACCTCTCAACCCTTTCTTCCACAAACCCATCCATTGTTTCCTTCCCACTAAATCTTGCATTCCCATCCTCTTGCCTACCCTTTCCCTTACCAGGTTACCATTCTCGTCCATTCTCAGGATTTTCTTCCCATGCATTCTACCTACGTCAAACTGTGTCCATATCCAATACTTATTCTTAGGTCCCAACTTTATCAGTAGTCTATATCCATAGATTCCTATCTCTTGTGTGAATGTATATAGTTGAAGTTTATGGCCAAGTATCGCTTGGTACTTCAAACTTTAGATCAAACTTTCCATCACTCTAATAATAAGTACAGTGACATCTACCCCACCTCTAAAAAGTAAAAATTATAATTATCAGAAATGCATATGCGCTCAAAAAGTTTGTCACTTTTGGAACCTGAAAATAAGTCAGTTAAATAAACGCATGTTTTGTGGCTGAGAAAATGTTTGCCATGCAGTATGACCCCCAAAAAATTACTCAATACATAACATAAATGAGCGTGCAGATTTGTGAGCAAAGACTAACCAATAACAAAGGGTTCCCTGTGACTGTTTGCTGTTGAAGCTGCTGGTTGATCTGCTTCATGGTTCCTTTGTTCCACTTTATCAAGGTGAAGTCTTGAAAAATGAACTCCAATTGAAGTTTCAAGCAACTCTTCGACCGTGTTCGAACCCATGCAGATTAATTTAACCTAAGAAAAAGAAAGAAAAGAAAAAAAATCTTTTAGCGCTTTATAATAACTGAATATGGTAGCTAATATAAATTGACCAAAATAACTTGTAAGAATTAGGACTGAACCAAGATTGATCTACAAGGTAACAAATATTTAGTTATATGATGAGAAACAAAGAATAAGATGCACAATTCTGGAGCTTCATCGATATATCTTACATAATCAATATTCAAAATAATTCAAAAACATTATAGGCAGGGTTAATCACATTTCAACAGCCCAATTGTTCAAAGTTCAAACATCAAAATGATAATAATGTCTCTTTATCACAAAAAAGTACTTACAAAAAAGCAGTCCTGAATTTTATTTACTAAATCATTGTTTCTTGCAAATTCTTGTTGACGTCTGTGGCTAAATCTGGAATAAAACAGATAAATCTATTAGATAGCTGATTTGCTATATTTTAAAACTTTTTCAAGTTTAGCTACCATGCGTTTATGAAATGTTGTACTTAAAGCAATATTTGACCTACTCCGGTGCAGTGATCCCAAGGTCAAACTGCTTCCAGGAACACCAGTGTACCGACCAAGTACTGTCAAGATCTCCTCGATTTATAAGACCTTTCGGTTCAAAACATTTCGGTTCAGTCAAAGATCTCATTGATCTGTTAAACCTTTCTGTTCAAAAATCTTTCGATTAAGACAAAAATCTTTCGATCTGTAATAACCTTTCGGTTCAGGGCTCTGTTCCTTCAGGCACAGACTAAAGCTTGCACGCTTTCAAACTCTGAAGCAACAGCACAACAGCCTAAACACTTCAATGTGTTTTTCGTATATCCAAGAGTTGCCCCAAGGGGCACTATTTATAAGCCTCTAAGGCTAGCTCAAGGGTCACAAACAGTCATAAATATGACAATTACAAATCATAATGACAATTATGATTGTAACAGCAAATGAATTGATTGTTGTAACTGTTACATTCAAGTTTAATTGTTGCATGTAGTAACACCTGAACGCGAGGTTCGCATTTCTACGCAACGCGATGGTCGCGTCGAGCCTCGCGAACGCGAGGCTCGCGTTCCCTCTCCCAAACGCGAGGGTCGGTTCCTTGTATGAACGCGAGAGTCGTGTTCCCTTACTGCGAAGCAGTCTGTGAGACAACCTGCGAAGCAGCCTACGAGAAAGCCCGCGTGGCGCCAAAGGGCGTCACGTAGCCCCGATGCCTCCGTGCAAAGTGCAAAGTGCGCGTTACAAAGCACCACTTAGCGTCTTAGCCCGATTAGCTCCAATCCCCGATCCATTAACCCACGGTCCACGACCCACGACAACTTATGAGAGATTAATTGAATAAAAATAATTTTTGGCTTGCCGTTGGCAAGCCTTGAACACAAGATATTTTGAAACATCAAAACTTTAACTTTTCGCTACGCTACTAAGGATTTCTGAAAAATACCAGTAACTAATAAATACATACTTTAAAAACTCATTTTTGAAAAGCAGTTTTGATCAAAAAATCCAACAATCCCCCACAAGTTTTTAAACTAGTGTCGTGTAACGGTGTCGTTGTTTCAATCGTTGTGCATAAGATAGATGTCGCAAGGACTTGAATCTCCCTTAGACCAGCTGAATAAAAGATAGATGCATGGTGTCGGAGAAACTAGAACTAGCACATGTCTAAAATCTAGTGATCATACAAGATCAAACTCATTTGTGGTAGTTTTCACTTTAAACCACACTTGCATTTGTCTTTGCCTTTGCCTTGCACATATATGACCTTGTGCATATCCTAGTTTCTGCTAAGGCTCTAAGTATCTTTTCACAAGACACCATAGGAGACAGCCAAATCTCCACCCAGACATAGGTGAGTTCTTTAGGCATGTTTTCTATCAAACATCCCGCATTCGAGATACTTTGAACTCATTAAGGCTTAAGAGTCATCATCTCTCATGATAGGATTCTAAGTGAATCTTTTAGGCATATTTCCTATCCAACACCCCACATCTGAAATGCTTTAAACTCATTAAGCCTTAACAGCCATCCTCTTTATATGATAGGATCATCGGTGAGTTTTTTAGGCATGTTACCTATCCAACAGCCTGTATCTGAAATGTTTTGGACTCATTAAGGCTTAACAGTCATCCTCTATTCCATGATAAGATTTCACTTGCAAATCTAACTTGACTTTTGAACCAATCATCTTATCATTAGTAATGTAACCTTTGAACTAATAACTTGATTGATGTAAGTGGTAAGTATTTGTAAGACTTACAAAACTTTGAGACCTATTCTAACAGACGTCTTTTCGACTATGTCATTTTTCAGACTCTTTGTCAAAGGATCAGCCACATTCTCTGAAGACCGGACGTCAATCACAAAGATGACTCCTTAGGAAATGAGTTCTCTTAAATAGTCATGCTTCAGACGAATGGTCTGCTTCTTTCCATTGAACATCGAGTTCGCTGCCACAGCACTCAGCCACCTGATTTTCATAATAGATAGTAATTGTGCATTGTAATTCTGTCAATAGGTCTCGAAGAAAACAACTGAGTCACTCAACTTCATCTCCTGCAGCACAGAGTGCGAAGAACTTAGATTCCATTATGACTGTGCAATCATAGTCTGCTTTTTAAACTTCCACGAGACGACAACTCTACCTATGGTGAAGACAAAACCTCTAGTAGATCTGCACTCATCTGGTTCTGAACACCAGCTCGTATCTGAATAGCCTTCGATTACAGCCGGATATCTAGTGTAGAATAGGATCAGACTTATAGTTCCTTTCAAGTATCTCATCAATCTTTAAACAGCATCACAATGAAGCTTTTCATGATTACTTGTGAACCTACTAAGCATTCCTACAGCGAATACTATGTCTGACCTTGTGTAGCTCATCGCGTACATAGACTCCCAATGATCTTTGAGTATCTTAGTTGCTCTACTGATCTTCTAGTGTTCGGTAGTAGCTTCTTATTATAATCATACGGCACTGATAGTTCTGACAGGTCGTAGTAGCAATACTATCTTAGCATGCTCTCAACATAATAAGATTGGGATAATCCAATACCCTCTTCAGAGTATATAATTTTGATTCCGAGAATCACGTCAGCAATTCTAAGGTCTTTCATACTGAATTGTGCTAAAAGAAATTTCTTAGTAGATATTATTATCTCCAAATCACTTCCGATGATGAGCATATCATCCACATAGAGGCAGATAATCATCACTTTTCCTTCAGCAACCTTGATGTATAGGCACTTGTCAGATTTATTGACTTGATACCCATTGTTATGAACAACCCCATCGAACTTCTCATGTCAGAGTTTCGGTGCCTGCTTAAGTCCATATAAAGACTTAATAAGTTTACAAACTTTACCAGCTGAAGCATCAAGTCCTTCTGATTTTTTCATGTAGATCCCTTCTATGATATCTCCATTGAGAAAGACAATTTTCACATTCATCTGATGTATGACAAACTTTTTTATCACCGTCTATGCGATAAGCACTCTGATGGTAGTAATCCTGTAAAGTGATGCATAGATATTTAAAAAAATCTATTCCTTCACTCTGAGAGAATCTTTTTGCCATCAGTCTTGCTTTATACTTCTCAATAGTACCATCAGGACGAAGCTTCTTCTTAAAGATTCACTTACAACTAATAGGCATTGCACATTCAGGTACATCCACCAGGTCCTAGGTGTGCTTTTGGATTAATAAATACACCTCATCATCTATAGATTCTTTTCATAGAAGAACGTCTGTTGACTATATTGCTTCTTAAAAAATTTATGGATCTCCTTCCACATTGAAATCATCTCCAAATTCTTCTATCTCTTGACACGCTTGGAAGGTAGTTCGGTAACTCCTTCATCATTGACACTCTCAGTTTCTCGCGAAACTAGCTCCTCTGGTGCTTCTGACGTACCAACATTCTCTGGTATATCTTTGAGCAAGTTTCTGCATCCTGAGCTTCAATGATCTCTGGTGTATCTGACGTACCAGCATTCTCTAGTATATCTTTGAGTAATAAACCTTTATCCTTGATAAACTTATCCTCAAAATATTTTGCATCCTGAGCTTCAATGACGGAGTTGGTTCTAAGGTCCAGGAATCTGTAAGCATCACTATCTTCAGCACAACCAAGAAACACACATATGTTTGCCTTTGGTCCGAGCTTAGGCCTTATGATATCTGAAACTCGAACATATGTGAGATACCCCACACTTTGAGACTATCCAAAGGATCTGGATATCCCAACCATAATTGACGAGGAGTACTGTCAGTTTTAAAATAGGATGCTCTGTTCAGAATCCAGTTTGTCATCAACATAGTCTCTCCCCAATAGTAGATAGGTAGATCAAATGTGATTAGCATTGAATTCACCATCTTGGTCAATGTGCCATTAGATTACAGAGAATACGGAGCAATAGTTTCAGCAATGATTCAATGCTCCTCGAAGTATGCTTCCGACTCCTTAGATTGATACTCTCCTCCTCTGTCGCTCCTGAGTCTTTTCACCTAAAGTCCAAGCTGTTTCTCCACACGAGTCCGAAACTCGATAAACTTGCTGAAGGCTTCATCTTTAGATTTCAACAGGTATATATGAAAAAACGAGAATGGTCATTAATGAAGGTGATGAAGTACTTCATGCCACATCGAGTGACGAAGCTCTTGAAGTCACAAGTATCTGAATGAATCAGATTCAATAGGTTGGTGCTCCTTGTGACATTTGGAAAGAGCGTCCTTGTTAGTTTCGCTTGCGTGCAGACTTCACATTTCTCAGGTTTGTTACCCCCATATCTTAAAAGTAATCCTAACTTCTCCATGCTAGACAGGTTTCTATACTTTAGATGTCTCAGTCTATTATGCCATAACATGTCATTCGTACTATATGCATTTCCAAAATATATTTTCTTAAAAAAATAACACAGCTTTTCCTTTTTGAAAATCCAGCCTCATACTTGTGTCATATAGCAAGTTTTTAGAGACTAAGTTTTTGGTAATTGAGGGAACATGTTTCACATCCTTTAATGTGAGTCTTCCCTAAAGAGAGAATCAACACCACAGTCCCAGTTCCAAGAACAGACACTACAGAACGATCAGTCACTGATACGTTCTCTTTGGCAACAATACAAGAAGAGAACAAATCTTTGTTGGAACAGGCATGATAGGTAGCACTTGTGTCTAACCACCAACCAGAGATGTTATTAGGAGTTATCACCTGAAAAAGCATAGTCACACAATTGTTAACTTGATTAACATTGTGTGTTGTTCCCTTCTTTGGTGTTTTGCAGTCCTTGATAAAATATCATTGCTTCCCACAGTTAAAGCATTTGCCGTTCTTTTTGAACTCTTTCTTCTGAACATTTAGATTCTTCGGGTTTTGGTTCTTTTTTTGTTAAATGACTTCTTCTTCTTAGAAGAAGAAACTAGTACCCTTCTCAAAGTTAGCAACCACCATGTTAGCAGACATCTTCTACTTAGCAAGGAGCTCATTCTTCGTGCGAGTCTGAATCTCGTCCTTGATCCGAATGAACCTCTTCAAATCAGATAGAGTCACATGTCTTTTCCTTCTCCGAAAGTCAGTGGAGAATAACATCCAAGATGGAAAAAGCTTGTTGACAATTACACCGGAAATAAAAATTTGATAGAGATTAATCTTTTCATCCTTCAGCTTCATAACAAGATTTTTAAGCTTTTTGACTTGAGACAAAACCTCACTGTCATCTTCGAATTTGAAGTCCAAAAACTTACCAATGATGTGAGACTTGAACAGTTTCTCCTCATTCTTGTACTGGTCCTCCAAAGTATTCCAGAATTTCTTTGCAGAGAACTTGTTGGTGTAAGCATCTGCTAAATGATCGGTCAGACAGTTAAGAAGATAACTCCTGCAGAAGTGATCATCTCTAGCCCAAGAGGTTTCAGACTCAGAATCTTCTTCAGAGTCGAGTTTCTCCTCAAAAACCACATAGTAGATTTTTAGGAGTTGCATTTCGATAATCACTTTTCGACGTCATATGTTAAAGTTGAATCTGTCAAAGTTCTCTAACTTAAGACAGTCCACTCCAAGTGTCCTCGCATGATCCATTGTAGATCAGAAATATTACTTTAAGATTGTTGACACCTGTGGCTAAATCTGGAATAAAACAGATAAATTTGTTAGATAATTGAAGCGTTATATTTAAAAAAATTAAGTTTAACTGCAGTGCGTTTATGAAACTATGTGCTTAAAGCAATATTTGGCCTACTCCAGTGTAAGAATCTCAAGGCCAAACTGTTTTTGGGAACAACAGTACGGTACACTGGTGTACACCGATCAAGTACTGTCAAAATCTCCTCGATCCATAAGACCTTTCGGTCAAGGCAAAGATCTCCTCGATCTGTTAAACCTTTCGGTTCAAAACCTTTCGGTTCAGACAAAAATCTCCTTGCAAAGTGCGCCTTACAAAGCATCACTTAGCGCCTCAGTCCGATTAGCCCCGATCCCCAACCCATTGGCCCACGGTTCATGACCCACGAGCCCACGAGTCCATGAGCCTACGATCCACTAAAACTTATGAGGGATTAATTGAATAAAAATAATTATTGGTTTGCCGTTGGCAAGCCTCGAACACAGGACCTTTTGAAACATCAAAACTTTAACTTTTCGCTAAGCTACTAATGATTTTTAAAAAATACCAATAATTAATGAATACATAGTTTGAAAACTCATTTTTGGAAAGCGGTTGACCAAAAAATCTAACAATTTTGAATAGTCACAATTACACTACTTACAGCGGCCACTAAAAGGAATTCCTGCTAGAATTTTAGTGTACCAGTTTGTTTATGTTTAGGAGCGTAACATTATGCTTTTCAAGAGAAGTTTTAAGTAGCGTTGACGTGTTTAGAATCTTAGAGAGGTTTTGTATTTATATGACAAAATTTCTTAGGATGGATGATAAGTAATATATGAAAGGTCAGATTTTCACTATATTACTTGGGCTCCATTGGGCAATGGATTAGTGTAAGGGCTAAGGGGGTGTAACCCCTCATTAACCAACCAAACACCAATAATCTTCAATTCGTTTACTAACCCTCACGTCAGGAGTAATCAAAAGTTAACTTGTCAACCGACAAATTAACAACTCCATGTAAGGAGGTGGACTAAATTTTAGTCCACCTCCTTACGGAGGGGCAAGCTATGTCAATTTGAAAAAAGAAAGTTGGAACAAAACAGTGTAGCATAATTAGATAGAGAGAGATATTTTGGTTAAGGGTGGAAAATTCTGAGTGGAGGGAAAGATATTTGGGTGGAAAATTGTGAGTGGAGGGAAAATGGAGAGAAAATCGTCTTTATTTGCGTGGCAAATTCTGAGTGCAGGAAATTTTATTTGGTGGAAAGAAAATCATCTTTTTTTATTTCAAATTTTACATTGAACTTTTTCTATTATCTATATTTTAGCAAATTAAAAAATTTATATAGTATATTATTGAGAAAATTGTTTTTTCGTTTCTTTTCATAGCCAATTTTCTATTGAGATTAATGATTAATTAAGTACCTTTAGTAGATCATTTATCACTCTTTAGCATTTAAATTCATGCTAATATGAAATTTATTTCTTACAACAAGAACTGTTATTGTTTTATTCCTATATAATGACAGGTTATTACTTTTTAAATTTGTATTGATTTTTATTAGCCTTCTCAACAATCATTTATTTAAAAAATACAAAATGAGGGTATTCTTATATAAACAAATTCCAGTTGAATTTATCTTATATTATATACTATTTATTAAAAACTACTTCATGCTAACTATCTCAATAAGGTTAAAGTCGGATTTTTTTTAATAGAGAGATTAATCTCCTTCACCCTTCTTTTTGGCCAAACACAGAAAGGTTAACCCTTCATGCTAACTATCTAATTCTAATCCAAACAGGATTATTTTTTTTTGTAACCCCTCATGATGGGTAAACTAAGTTAATCATCTCCTTAATCCTTCTCTCGTAAACCCTTGTCAAACAGCACCTAAGAGTTTAGTTTTTTTTTTAATCACATTTGGTATATCAGTGTATATATGCCTGTAAGCCCATCAGTATCCTGAGTTCCTAACAACTAAAACTTAGGAGGGAATTATTAGATTGGTCAGCTTTTTATGCTGAATAAAAGGAAAAGGAAACAGAAAATGACTTAGAACAGAAATAATCTCCATTCACGTTAACATCACCTTTTACATTCCTTGGATGGAGAATTTCTTTCTTCTTGTGAGAGTAAAAACCGTGAGTGAGAAGCTTGAACAGTACTTTTAGATTTACGGCCTCATGCAATTGCTTCTCAATTACTGACGTAGTCTCTAGATTTCAGTGTCAGATTTTAACCATGTGTTAGTCAGCACATGCAGATTATACTCAATAATACGATCATGTTAGTGATAGAGGGAGCCTTGATGCTCAAGTAGAGCATCGTATTTTGCATGGAGTGAATGAAGAATTTATTTTCTCCTTGTAACAGTTAGAAAAAACATGAGCGAGAAATTTGAATCACAATCCTACATTTACCAACTTTATATAATTGTTCAAGGGTCAGGTACACTCCGCTGACCGCTACTTCCTCTTTAATTCTAGAGCTCTATGTAAAGGATCGAGGCTCACTCATCAACATCTATTTCAAACTAGTAGGAAATTTTCTTATATTCTTCTATTTATAAACTTAGATAACTACTACATACATACACCCTGACTATAATCCTAAGAAATATTTCTTTTCTCTTCACTTGATTGAATCAAAGATCTGTTAATAATTTCATAAATTAGATGCATAGCATAGAATTCACCCAAAATCAAACCCACAACTCGTCCCCACAAGCTTCAAGATAATTGACATTGACGAATCACAATGCGTTAAATAACTCAAGTTTTTCAAAATTAGTTTCCAAATGCAATGGATTAAGGGTTTCTTCAACAGTTAGCAAAACTATAACAAAGTCCGAATGTAAAAACCACCAAACTATTATAAATTCTTGTTACAATGTGATTTCTCGTCTAAATCAAATATTTGTTACTAACTTCATAAACAGATTCACTGAATAAAAATCGTCCAAAATAATTCAAAAATCCCTAGTCAACTAGACAGTACAAATGTAATCCAAAGGTCAAAATCACAGCACTATCAATTACAAAGTCAATCCAAGAAAATGGTGTGAAACATTTAATATTAGTCACATAATTTAAAAACCACACTTAATTAATAGCACTGATATCAGTACTAAAACCTCTATTATAAAAAATTATTATTTTAAGTGATATGATTACTAATAAATGCCTAGATTTCAAGCCACCGCATTTATTAACGAAAACCTAATCGGATCCAAACAAGACTCGACGGCGGATCCATGCCCGATACCAGGGGTTTCGGTGGACTTACCACACGTGATCTGCTGCTCCGCCGGCGAAACTAAGATCTGGCGATGTCGGCACACGCTATCGGTACTCTCCGATCCAACGAGATCCGCGCCCAAATCTGAGAGTACGGTGAGCACTGACGGCGGTTTAACGGAATGGCGACGGCGGCGAACGGCGGCGTTCGAGGAAGAGAAATGCAAATTGCTGGACGAGATGCATAAATAAGGAAGGAATTCGTCTATAAACCCAATATTTTATCCTAACTTATTTGAAAACCCACCCGCTTCAGGCAATATTCCTATGAACCCAGAAACCAGTAATTAATTACTTTTAAACCTGATTTGCTTTCATCAGTTTTTTGCTATGGGGCTGTTTGGTTCGTTTCCTAGATATAGGAAAATGCATTTCCATGTACAAAGACACAAGTTTTGAGTTTTCTAAACTTTTTCAATAAATAGATTGTTTCGCTTTGGTTCGCACAAAAAAAATAGTGGGAAACCAATGTATTTATTTTTCTTGTGTTTGGTTCGTATGGAAAAAAAGGGAAAACTTTTGTTTATATGGCAAAAAGCCGACGTGGCTGCAGTTTCGTCGATTTCACGAGGTTGAGGAAGAAATTGGGGGAGAGAAAAAAATCTGATGTGGCGGCGATTTTCACCGAGTTTCCCTTCTTCAACCCTAGCGAAGCAAAGATGGAAAAAAACCGACAGAAAACTTATATCCTACGTGGCCACGAAAAATCTGATGTGGAGGCGGTGTAAAACTTTTCCACCGAGTTAAAAAAAGAACCAAACAGCCCCTATAGTTTTTGTTCGTTTTACATTTAAGTCGAGATTTTTTAATGTGAGTTGCTAAATTCTAGTGCAAATTGCTTTATTTGGGCTATATTGCTATATTTGTGCTTAGACAGTGTATGCAGTGGTGGAGCTACGAAGTGTATAATATATAACTCCATTAGGCTACTAAATTGCTTGCTTTTTCATTTTATTTTTATTCATATTTACTACTTATTAGGACACTATTAGAGTTAGGATAGAACACCATTAAAAGAATAAATATGTTAGATTACCAATGCAAATTATAACTTTAACCATGATGAATAATATGAGGATACATGTGAGACAAGATCCTAACCCCGCCACCGATTGATTGCAAAGTTCAAAAAATATAAAAACTGAAGCTATATTTTTAAAAGAAAAAAAATAAGCTAGGTTAAACTTTACTGATAGAAAATAATAGTGTCTTTATAAATATGGGAATACAAAGAGGTAGAGGAGTGAGAGTGAAGTAGAAATTTGTGTGTGGCCGATTGCTTTTATGAAATAGCAGACCACGAAGTTAAAAATAATGTATTTCAGTATTTGCGTTTAACGATGATTTTGAAGGTGGTTGGGTTAAGAAATAAACTAAACTATTTAAGGATCTCTTATTCTTGAACGACCAATTTTAAAAACATACACTTTTAAATAATTATTTATAATTTTCGACTCGGTATTGATTTAATTAGCATTTTCGATCTAATTTCATGAAACTAGGTCGAAGTTGGTTAATGAAACTTCACAGGATTGCTAATCTCACGAAGCCTTAATTAACGATTTCGACTTAATTTCATAAAAGTATATCTAAATTGCTAATTGAGTTAGGACCAGGTCGAAAATTATAAACAAATGTTTAAAATGGTTCGACTTTAAAATTCTGTTCTTTCTTAAAACACCCTTATACCTTAAAGTATTTGCAGAATAAGGACGTTATTTTTGACCGTTGATATTGATACGTGGCGCTTATCAATAACAGTTACAGTCATGTCGGCGTCAGCATCACAGTTTGGTGGTCTGTAACCGCTTGATGTTGACACGTGTTGGTCGTAGGTTTAATCACGGTTGCTTTCGCAACGATGAGGCATGTGAATCTAGCTGGGCGATTTCGCACGTGCAGCGGGGGTGGCAAGATTATGGAAGCCGGGCCGACTGCGAAAATGCCGAGTTCTATTGGTTGAAATGCGGAGTTTGGTGCTTGTGATTGGCAGCGGATTTGTTTGCTGCATTGTTTAGGAAACAGTGCGCCGGGCACGTGGGATTTGCCTTCAGAGGAGTTATCGCCGAAAGTGCCCCTTGAGCCTGGAGTGTTCGGACATCTTCGTCTTAAATTAGGAAAATTGACCTCTAGAGACTAGAGTCCTGTATATGCGTATAAAGGAACTAATTGGGTCTTACCCGCTTTGGATTAGAAATCTGATTACATTATGTACCATTTACGTATTCAGCTTACTAGTGTGCACCCCGTGCAAAACACGGTCTTCTATTTTTTAAGTACTTATGATATTTTGAGTCGTCAAAGTATGACCATTTGTCAGCAACGGACAGATGTACCCTACATGCACCGCTCAAATCAAAGTGACGGCCAGGACCACCAAGAATCTCGACTTAGTTGACTCGCCAAGTCGACATCTCCTTAGATCATCTCGAAGGACGGTATTTGTCGGTCCTCTTATCGAAGACGACTCGCTACGAGCACACTCGACCAGTTATTTAACACCTTGTAAGGTCGACTCGAAAAGCGTTCCTTCTCGACACCCCTTGCTATAAGCCAAAAGACGAGTTCAATCTTGAGCATCCCCCGCTGACAGCGTGTCAATATCACATTAAATGCTTGTTAGCCGTCATCATTCATCTAGTTCTGATAGTCTTCATAACATATCGGACCACGTTGGCACCGTCATGCCCCCTATCACTTCACATTAAAATGCTGAGGTGACTTCTCCTCCACTCATCGATCGACACTTGTAAAGTAGGTGCTGACGTAGCGACCATCTCATACTCGTTTGCCATCATCCTATACTCGTCCAAGATTACCGTCCTACCCACTTGTCACCATTATAAATAGGGGTACTATTCTAAATACCAGGGTAAGCAATCAATATCTCAAAACTCCGCTGCACTACACTTAAGAACTCACACAGTTCATCACTTTGCCACTCAAGTCTATCAACTAGCTTGATCGTCAGAGAAACAACGGAGGAACTAGTCTTCATCCTCTTACGAGTTGCTATTTGTACAGTCAGAAGCTACTCAACTCAAAACCAAATATTCAGAGAAGTTAGCGGTCCCTAATCAACCTCACCATCATTTTATTATCCGTTTGATTATTAACAGTACCATATTTTGAACTTGTCTTCATCTAAGTGTTAACATATTTGATTTAATTATTGTACGCTTAAAATTAGAAATCATATCTACTCATATATACTTAAAGAATGATCTAAGTTTAAATACATTTGATTTAGAAATTATATCTACTCATTTATACTTGAAGGAGAATTCACGTTTTAATACATTTAATTTGCTTTGTTGTTTATAATACAGTAAATTACTATAGAATGAATAGTAGCTTCAAGTACAGAGGCTCGTATCTGGTTTACTGTTTATCCTATAGTAATTACTGCAGCGTGAACAATGCCTTCGAGTGTGGAGGGGTAGGCCTGGTTTATTGTTTATGTTGCAATAATATAGCATTTTCTATAGCGTAAACAGTGATTCTTTGGATCCTCCTATAAGTATAGAAGAATAGATTTCAAAACAATTTTATTATTACACTCGATTTTGTTTTCTATTCTATAGTTTGTGGAATTGGATAAGGGATAGAAAATAATGTATGGGAATATCTGAATATATATTCATATTTGGAGGTATATGAATGCTGATACTGATATTTAAGTAAAATATTTGAATCTGTATTTGAATATCTGAATGTACGTATAGATCAGAAAAATTAATTTATATTTACTTTTACATCAATGGATTTGATGTTTTCATGTTTATGATCCAAAGCCTAACTTTATGCTTTAGGTTGTGCTGAGCGTACTGAGGACAACACATTAGAAATTTTATTATATTCACTAGTAGAAAACTGAGTATTGGCGACGGATTCAAATCCGTCGCCAATACTTATTGGAGACGGATGCAATCTATCGCCAATGTTCCGTCGCCAATAAGTATTGGCGACGGATTAGATCCGTCACCAATACTTATTGGCGACGGATTCAAATCCATCGCCAATACTTATTGGAGACGGATGTGATCTGTCGCCAATGTTCCGTCGCCAATACGTATTGGTGACGGATTAGATCCGTCGCTAATACTTATTGGCGACGGATCTAATCCATCTCCGATAGGTATTGGCGACGGATTAATCCGTCGCCAATGTTCCGTCGCTAATACTTATGGTGACGGATTCGAATACGTCGCTAATACTTATTGGTGACGTATTCGAATCCGTCGCCAATACTTATTAGTGATCCGTCGTCAATGCTAATATGTCCATCATAAAAAATTAACATTAGTGATTGATTATCTCATTGTTAATGAGTAGCCCCATAAAAAATTAAGAATTATTTAAATATTAGTCCCTCAAATCTATAATATTTTAAATGTAGTCCAATACTATTTTGTTCCACGCAGGTAGATGATAGCTTGAGAGCTGAGGACGTGGAAGTCTACTATGATCTAGGACAGTTGTTTGGTAGCCTTCTCAAGGGCCCCCTGCTCCCCTCTAGCGCCGACGTCGAGGAGGCTGTAGTCACAACTTTGTTACTGGAGGCATGTCCCTTCTTCAGGGAGAAGTGATATATGCTTCCTGAATTTGAATTTGCTTGGAGAACGAATCTAGTAGTTTTCTCGTCAATAAATGAATGGATGTTTGATGTAAGTTTCCGATACTTATTACTTCCAATGAATGTATGAATCAAGTCTTTATGAAAAATCTGGACATATGAATAAATAAGGGCTAAATTTCACAGACTACTCCTTCACTTGGGTCGTTTCTGTCATAACCATGTGAACTATTTTTAATGCTATGAAAGCTTTCTTAACTTGATATCTCGGATTCTCTACAATCTTGATTGTAAAGAATGCATGCAATTAGTTAGGTGTGCTACTACTATTGGCCTCGGATTCTCTACAATCTTGATTGTAAAGAATGCATGCAATTAGTTAGGTGTGCTACTACTATTGGCTAATCTCAGTGAATCCACAGCTAAAGGTATTTCATATTATTTAGATAGTTAATATCAAAAATTGAAGGGTTTTGCACATAACTT